GTGTGTTCAACTTCCCATATCGGCTAAAATATTTAAACAAAGATTCAGAGTCATGTTATAAATAAGATCAAAATGAATCCAAATCCGAATTAGCAGGAACTTTAACTTAACAAGCATCCAAATTTAAAAAATTTGTATACGGATTAATTTGGTTTTTAGTTAAACTATTTCATTTTACCGGAAATATTATATTTGATATATTTGAAAGCAATAGAAAGTTTATAATATTATGAACATTTGAACATATAAAAATCAAATGTAACACGGGACGAAGTTTTATGGTGGTCTGGCGGGACGGATTTTGAATCAACATTAATAAAAATTTAAAATATCACTAATTCACTGCTTCAATATGGGACGGATTAAAATAAAAAAAATTTATAATATTATGTACATTTGAACATATTAGAAAAAAAAATAGCACGGGCGGATTATATTGCGAGACGGGTTATATGGCGAGACGAGTTTGAAATAACATTAATAAAAATTTAAAATGTCATTAACTTGCCGCTTCAATACGGGTTAAACTCTTATTTTATTATTTTTTGACACTATGATTATTAGACATATCGAATCAGACTGATTTAAATAAGATTGTACAAAGCAAAAAATATTGTGTGGTATACCACTATTTAATAATAATTATAAACTATAAAAATATAAATTTTTATAAAATTATATTATTTGCAAATTTTTTATATAATACAAAATCATGAAATTTCTAAAATTACTACTTTTAGTAAATAAATTGTCCCGCGGTATACCGCGGGTTAAAATCTAGTTCAATATCTAAGATTGTAAGTCGTTTTTCATGCTCCACTTTGCGTTGTAACTCAAAATAAATTGACCTTTTGGGAGAAGGAAAATATTATATAAGTATGATTCAGAAAAAAAAGAAAAAAATCGAAAAAAGGTGATATTATACCATGAAAATTGACAATATATAAAAAAAAGACAACTTGATAATTCTGCATTAACAAGACTATCCTTAAAAAGTAATTAATCAAAACAACAAAAAATTTACGAAACGGATTAAAAAATGATAATTATCTTAAAATTAGAATTTTTATTCTTCTCAGTTAAACATCAAACATCTCGAGTCTTTCCTTTTGTTTTTCAACCACGACACTTATTGGAATGCTGAAACTCTAACACATCTTGCATTTGGAAATCTCTTTCGGCACTCAAACCTCTTGCTAAATGATTTCTAACGCTGCTTTTGTGACAAATGGAAAAACTCTACCAGCTCTTGAGCTCGTTGAAGAATGGAAGAAACGGGATTTGGTGATGGGTGAACGAAATTACATAACGTTGATGGAAGAGATTTTTTTTTTTTAACGATGATTGATTGTGTTATGTTCATTTGGAAGGATGATCAATCTGCTTAGCTCAAAGGTGTTCATTCATGCTAGTTGCTCATCAAATAACTATGTGTTACTATGTATTCATCCAATTTTGTTGATTAGTACAGATCCACCAAAACATGCAAAAGACTTTGCAATAACACAAAAAACAGTATCTCCGACTCCAATGGTTTGGAAATTTCGAATTTAAGATGGAATAAAAAAAGTTCTCACTGATATAAAAGTTAAAAGTTGCTTTCCATGTTTTTTCTGACAAACAACACAATTCAATATCTAGCATCTATTTAGCTCAATAATAGTGTACATAATTTTATTTAACATTCATTTTGAGAGTTGTTGAAGAAGTTGACGCATCCCCAAATTCTTCAAGAGTGACAGTGTTTTATTATAAACAGCACTGTGAATAATTCACATCACGGATCTCTTGTCTAACTACTCTAAATTTTATGACTTCTGATATTTTTTTTTAATATCATATTCATTTGGCTATAGTTGGTCCCTTGCGCGAAGCTATAGCCAACTCCTTAGCTTTCCAGCATTTTTAATAGGAAATAGTGACATTGTGTTCGCCTAGCAACATCTCTTGGAGTTCACATGCCTGTGGACCGGCATGTGGTCTACAATAATTCTGTTTTATGAAAGCTGCGATTACTTTTGATGTAGCATGTTTGGAGAACTGTCCCCTTGAGTCAGCATCACGCACATAGGTCAGGAGTGCTTTCCTAACCTCATATTGAGCCGAATTCCAAACTTCATGCGCGTACACCCTCCAATCACACCATTTCGAAACACACAACGCCACTGTGTGATCTCTTCCATGACGACTATTGAACTCTGCCTTATTGAATCTAAACAGGAATACCCTATTTATAGCATATATTGACATGGCGACCTTGAACTCTGCCTTATTCATGAAGAGCCTCCGACATATATATCATCGTCCTCTCGGCTTAAATCTACATCATCTAGATTGTATTTACTAGGAGCAGCATCGTTGAACATAGACTCAACATCCTCATACCCATAAATCACTGTTACTCGTATTACTTTTCAACAATGCATTATCCCCATCATCCACCATCTCCTTCTTCCTCTCTGTTCCAATTTTAAGCCCATTATAACAAACGAATGTCATTGTCGTAGTTTTACACTGCAAGTCAGTAGTAGAGACTAGGCAAAGAAGTGAAGTTGTGAAAGAGTACGAATGTACAAAGAATATGACATTCACCAAAGAAAGCTAGAGTTATCAATTTTATTGCACGGTGGAGGAAACGAAATGGCTTACCAGCAGCTGTTGATGATCTAATTAAGATCCAGTTTAGGAACATTTTTAATCATGCAATGGGTAAGTTCAATGAGTTTCTGCTTTTCTAGATTCGAAAATGATTTGAGAATTTCATGTATCTTCGCCGGTGGGAATGTTACAAAATTAGTTTATTTGGAGCTTTTCGGTTTAAGTATCGTTGCTATTTATCGTTTGTTTAGTATCGAGTAGACCAATTTATTTCGTATTAATTAAGTAATTACTATTTGCTATTTGGAGCTTTGGGGTTTAATATCATTGCTATTTATCTTTTGTTTAGTATCATTATTAAAAGCTATTAATCTATACTAGTATTTTAGAAGTACATTTGTTAGCGGGTGATATTAAATTATTGTCCGACAAATTTGGTACCCGACCCGATAAGAAATTTCCTTCATAAATCTTACACCGGATATTTCATATCTTTTTTGGATCGGATAAAAACATATCCGAAATTATGAATCGGATATTCCATATTTAAAAATATAGATATTTAGAAGATTTGGTTAAGATTTAAAAATAAAATTTTTCTATCATCTTTGTTTGAATATTTTTTAACTGTTTTGAATCATCATATAATACATAAAATTAAAAATAAATCTCATTTTTTCTGCATATATTGGGATTCGAAATTTTTTAAAACGGATATATATTACCCAATTGATGAAAAAAGTGTGTGTTCAACATCCCATATCGGCTAAAGTGTTTAGATATTTATTCAGAATCATATTATAAATAAGATCAAAATGAATCCAAATCCGAATGAACAAGAAGCTCAACATAATAAGCATCCAAATTTAAAATTATATACCGTTTCATTCGCTTTTTTCAGTTTAACTGCTTAATTTTAGCAGAAATGTTAAATTTTAAACTTTTAAAAAGTTTTAAATAAATATAATTCTTATATTTAAAATCAATAAAATGTGTATAATATTATGAAATTGAACATATATAAAGAGTTACAATAACACGAGAGGGTTATATTGCTAGACTGGATTATATAACGGGACAAGTTTTTAAGAAGTTTTAAATATTATAATTTATATATATAAAATCAATAAAATGTTTATAATATTAAGAAATATTTGAACATATATACAGAGTTAAAATAACATGGGACGGTTATATTGTAGGATGGAGTTATATTGCAGGACGAGGTTATATGACGGGATGAGTTTGAATCAAAAAAATTTTAAACATCATTAACCCGATGCTTTAATATGAAATCTTCATTTTATTACTTTTTTAACACCACCAATATTTGACATATCGAATGATCCTGATCAAAGAAAATTGTATAAAAGAAAAATTGTTATGTGGTATACCGTTACTTAATAACAATTGTAAACTATAAAATATAAATATCTTATAAAATGATACAATTTGCAATTTTTAATATATATAATATATAACCATTAAATTTTAAAAATTACTAATTTTAAAAACAAATCGTCATGCGGTATACCGCGGGTGGAAATCTAGTCTTGTTTAGTATCGATTAGACCTATTTATTTGCTATTAATAAATTAATAGCTATTTGCTATTTGGAGCTTTTCGGTTTAATATCATTGCTATTTATCGTTTGTTTAGTCATTAAAAGCTATCTATTTTGTTTAGTATCAATTAGACCTCTTTATTTGCTATTAATTAAGTAATTGAAATTTACTATTAATGAAGAAAGTTATTAATTTTACCAAAAAGTAAGTAATTAATTAAGATGTATTTTTTTATCAAAAAAATAAAATTAAGATGTACTTTCTTTGCTATTAATTAAATAATTAAATATTAATATCATTAGAACGTCGTAATAAAGCTGTTTTTTTATTGGAGGAATACAAGGATGTTGTAATATTTCCATAAAATAAATATTGTCCACTAAAGCAAAACACTTGTCTCCAGAGCCGTGCCTAGCATTGTATGGACCAGAAGCGGTGTTAAAAAAAAGGCCTTGATTCAAATACAAAAAAGCTTTAAAGTAATAACCAACATAGTCCAAATAAATAAAACAAGAGTAAAACCAGAATATTAATTCTAAAACGTAACTTTTCTTCTTTTTGTGTTATAAAATCAATAACCAAGCTCTCAAAATCAACGTTATGAAATCTCACTTTGCCAAAAGCTGAGACCAAATCTTTTTTCAATGCTAAACGTGAAAATTTCTTTAAAATAAAATCGGTTTGGGTGCGGTTTGGGGACGATACGTCTCCGAGAGAGAGAATAATATGTTTATTTGGAGACGGGAAACTTGGTGAGCAAGTCTATTTCCTCTGTATTAATAATGTAGCGTCTAAAAGGTGATCATCACAACGATTCTTCAATTAGGTTTTTTTTTTTTTTCCCTAAATCTCTTGTTTTCGATAAGATCGATCATTATTCATCATCATGTCTCTGCTTCTCAACGAGCCTTCGATGTTGTGCCTAGGCAAACCTGCGTCGATGAGGTCATCTCTTTTTCTCTCTAGTGGCTTCCCATCTTCCTCACTGCGAACCCTTCCATGTTCCATCCACGGTTGTGGACTGAAGGTTAGTAATGTTCCTAAATCTCGCCACACTTCTTTGGAAAAGAAGGTGCCTGTGGGTAGACATAAAATAGATTGGCTAGCATACCTTGGCTGGTTAGCTACTTACAGTGACGACGGAATTTTGCGTTTCATTGATTCTATGTGGGATTCAGGAGAACCGAAACACTTTTCGTCGCCTCCTTTTGTAACTTTACCTCGTTGCCAAACTCAAATTGTCACCAACGTGGTCGCATCTTCTCCTCTTGACGACGAGGACTGTGTTGTGGCTGTCAAGTTTTTGGGACCTCAACTCAGCTTTTTCAGACCTGCTCAAAGTAAATTTGGGTGGACCAACGTTAGAATCGAAAACCCTTGCTTCTACTCCTCCAAAGTCATGTTTTCCAAGAAAGATGGCATGTTTCGTATTCCTGGATCTGGAGGCCACATTATCGGATCATGGGATCTCCACACACACAAGCAAACACCACCGAAGATTCAGAGGTTGCAGCTCCAAAACCTTCCCGAGCGGACCAGGACCCAACGCGAGCTTCTGGAATCTTCCTGGGCGAGCGTATTCTTGGTGGAGTCACAATCAACCGATGAAACTTTCTTGGTTAAGTGGTACAAGAAGACCTCTGGAAAGATCATGAAAACAAAAGGTGTAATGGTGTTCAGGCTAGACCATAAAGGAAACGCTATTTACACTCAAGACATTGGAGATCTCTTCATTTTCCTCTCACGAGATGGTATTTCTTGTGAAGAACCCTCCGACAACTTTAGGCCTAACCACGTCCATGTCGGTGATAAAGACGGGTTCTTCACTATCAATCTGGCAAGTGGCGGATTAGAAGTTCACAGAGAATTCTAATTGAATAGAATCTCTTTGACATTGTTATGCATATGATGTGGGATAATCTTTGCTATCATCTCTCTTCCAATTATTTTTGTTTAAACTATATCCAATAAGTTTATGAATCATTGTTGTCACCATTAAAAAGTTGTGTAGCACAGAAAAGTAGAAAACTAAACTAAGAGAGAACCCGTGTTTTCCCTCTTTTGATTAATGCCTCAGATATATAACTTTTTAATATTTTTTTGTGAATATTAAATCGATCTTGGAAGGCGGTAACTAGTTGTTGTGTTTCGTAAACTAAGATTAGAAAGTTGTGGAACTATAAATTAAAGTTTTTTGACAATAATAATAGGCTTGCTTCGTAAACTGCAAAGTTGGGAATTTTAGTGGTATTTTCGTGTTAAGAGAGCACCACCAAATGGCGGAGCCAGAATTTTTGTTTATAGAGGTCATATATATTATTATTTTTATTTAATTACATATTAATATTAAATAATATATTTTATCTTGATTTATGATATTTTATAGAAATATATGTCAAAACAATTTTGAGAAAAAGAACGAAAAAAAACAAGATATCCGATGATACAAAGAAAAAGAATCAATATGTAAAAAAACTATTAGAGAATTGTAATCATTTTTTAGGAAAAAAACAAAACAAACATAGAAAGAAAATTAATGTTGAATGAAAAATTAAATATGAATGGGGTCAAAGACATAAAATTATGGCATGACATAGGGGTCAACTAGGAAATTTTGTACCAAAATATCTAAAATCATTAGATAATTTACCTTATAATTTCAAAACTTTAAAATGTTATGGGGGTCAACTGACCCCCCCTCCCTCTTAATTGGCTCCGCCCCTGCCACCAATTTATGTTCTTCACTCGCCATCAAAAACCATGACACGAATTAGAAAAGATTCTTGCTCATACCCAATAATCAATCAGAACTAAGGATGGAGACTCATTCTTCCCCGTTTTGATATAGAAATCCAACACTTCAAATAAGTATTTCAGCAAAAATAAAAAGCGCCTTTGGATCCACATAAGAGTAAAAAGGCAAAATCACAGTGTAATACTAATAGAAAAAAATTAATATTTTACTCTAACGACAATGATATAGACATATATATATATATAGTCTAGTCACCAATTAAAATCAGAGTGTAATAAATCGGATACATATACTTGGATGAAAATTTAGGACAAATAGCATTATATTTAAAAGCCATGAAGATGGTGGTAAAAAGATGATACAGTATAGGAAAAGATAGTAGTACCATTTTTACTCGTCATCTTTGTAATTTTTGACTAGATAGTTACACCGGAGATCGGTACACACGTTGTACCACAACATTACAAATCAAATAGCACACATGGTTGTATTGACTGCGTGCGAACTAACAGAACTATCGCCATCCTCTGCCAAGACAGATTCTAGACCTAGAATTTTTCAACATCCTCGTGTTTCCATAAACCAGAATCTCCTTTGCAATCAAAATTTTCCACATCAAATCTTCCTTATGTTGTGACTTATCTCTTGCTCGAGAAATCAGAGGTGCGACGTGTTCTCACGAATTTTCTAAGCTACACGGAGAAACAATTTGGGAAGTCAGTCAAATCTGTTCGTAGTGACAACGGTATGGAGTTTACAATAACCGACTATGACTTGAACTACAAGTTACGGGCCTAAACATATGGTCCAAACTCTATCCGTAATAGCTCCATAAACCAATTTCTTTCTTCTTGTTTCTGGTTCAATTCCAGCAAGAAACAGAGACAAAGATTTTTACTCCCATTGAAGAATAGATAAGTGCCTCTATATTGATTCTACATAGTGTTTTATGTTCAAAAGTTAACATTTTGTATATACATCATATATTAAGTGTCCAATATAATTGATGGAATCAGAAACAGTTGTTCGTTAAGTGTAAAATGGGATTGAATTATAAAAAATTTGACTTTGTTGAAAATTCGATTGTCATATGCACATGTGTTTAATAACTTCGTTCTCATATGCAATTTTTTTTTTGTGAACGATTTATGTTCCTTAGTCGATAGTACATTATACATGCTGTTAGACTTTCTCCCTGTGTTTTTAAACCCGACCCGGACGGTAAACCGGACTACCTTCTGGGTCACCGGGTCAACCGGGTTCGACCACGGGTCAATTGATTAAAATTTAATTAATATATTTAATATTCATAGAGAATATATAGTGTTTATAAATATAAAACTAAAAATATTCATACTATATTTACAAAATATGAAGTCTAACAATAATAATAAAGTAATTCAAATTAAAATTTTAAATCCAACTAAAAGTCTAAAATCGTAACAAATATTAAAATAGTAGGAGATCGCTAATAACAGAAATAAACTAATAAAACATCGCGAATTCAAAACAACTAATATCGGTTATTTTTTTCACCATTTCATTCATTCTCCTTAGACGGTACTGTCATGTTTCATTAAAATCTAAAACATCAAATGAGTCTAAGAACTACAAAAGAGTTCTAAAAATAATTGAATAGAGTCTAAAACTCTAAATTTTATTCTAAAATCAAATGATATTTTTAAAACCCATACCCAGCCGGTTCAACCGGTTCACTGGGTCGCGGGTTAATGGCGGGTTTTGTGGGTTTTTCCGATTTTGAAATTGGCGGGTATTAGCACTAAACCCAAACCGGAAAAGTATCCGGGTCGTGGGTTAACCGGTCGGACCGGGCGGTCCGGGTCGGGCGTGAAAACACTGCGAGTTTCTCCCTGTTTCGGAATCGTCTTTATTTTGAATCTCTCTTTTGATTTTGCATAAATGAAAAATGCTAAAAAGTTCACCAAATTAATGTATATGACCTTACCTAATTTGGAGACATGAAACTTGGTGAGCAAGTCCATTTCCTCTGTATTAATAATGTACCGTCTAAAGGGTTTTCTTCAATTAGGGTTTTCTTCAATTAGGGTTTTCTTTTTTTCCTAAATATCTTGCTTTTCGATAAGATCGATCATTATTCATCATTATGTCTCTGCTTTTTAACCAGCCTTCGAAGTTATTCCTAGGCAAACCTGCGTTGATGAGATCCTCTCTTTTTCTCTCTAATGACTTATCATCTTCCTCAGTGCGAATCCCTCCTTGTTCCATCAACGGTTGTGGACTGAAGGTTAAGATTGTTACTAATGGTCGCCGCACTTATTTCGCAAAGAAGGACGACGGAATCGTGAGTTTCAACAAGGAAGATGAAAAAAAATGGCTAGCTTACAAAGGCTGGGTAGCTACTTACAACGGCGACGGAATTATGCATTTCATTGAGGAGACAGGAGAACAACCGAAACACTTTTCGTTGCCTCCTTTTGTAACTCTGCCTCATTGCCAAACTCAGATTGTCACCAATGTGGTCATGTCCTCACCTTCTCCTGAGGACGAGGACTGTGTCGTGGCTGTCAAGTTCTTGGGACCGCAACTGAGTTTTATCAGACCAGCTCAAAGTAACTCTGAGGAGTGGACCAACGTCAGAATTGAAAACCCTTGCTTCTACTCCTCCCAAGTCATGTTTTCCAAGAAAGATGGCATGTTTCGTATTCCCGGATCTAGAGGCCACATCATCGGATCATGGGATCTCCACACTGACACACACAAGCCCAAGATTCAGAGGTTGCGGTTCCGAAACCTTCCTGAGCTAACCAAGACCCAACGCGAGCTTTTGGAATCTTGCTGCACAAGCGAATTCTTGCTGATAGAGTCACAATCAACCGATGAAACTTTCTTGGTTAGGTGGTACAAGAAGAGCTCTAGAAATATCCTGAGTTCAAAAGCTGTGATGGTGTTCAAACTCGATGACAAAGGAAACGCTATTTACACTCAAGACATTGGAGAACTCTGCATACTCCTCTCTGGAACTGAACTTTTATGTGAACCTGCTAGTTCCAATATCTACCTCCTGAGGCCTAATCACGTCGAAATCTATGATGTCTACGAGTTCTTTACTCTCAATATCGCTAACTCCCCCATTCTTTAGTAAAATTTTGCTATGATTAAATATGGAATTAATTCTGAGTCTGTCTTCTCTTTTGAATCTTTCAAACCTCAAAATTGTAGAAGCGAATCTCTATGACATTTTTATGCATATGTGTTGTGGGATAATTAAGATGTGCTATCATCTTTCTTCTAACCAATAATGCTTAAACTCTATATATCGAACTAGTAGCAATATCATTCATTTTAATCGAGATGCTTTTATGTGGAATGTGCTAGTATTCGTGTGGTTACCTTTATGCATATGGTTGTAATGACTGCGAACTAACTATTTGTTTGAACAACATAAGGAAAAGAGTTTGCAGCTTACCAAAGAGCACTCTAGATATCAAATATGGTGATAGAGCCGGTGGAGCACACAAGCCGGTGCTTAATCCAATTGCCAGGGTGATCTCTGTAATTTTTTTTATGTTTCTTAGAGATTACCTTTATTCAGAAAATTCTAAACTTTTGATATTGCGTACCCTTTATGCTTCTTCAACTAGATATGAGTTTTTTTCCAGTGAGCCATGCATATATACTCTGATTTTATAAGTGTATTTATCTTTTTCAATTTACATTTCATAATACAATTGTAAAAAGAAACAATATCTTGTTTTGAAATGTTAAATCTTTTTATCATAACTTAGTATCATAATTCTTCGCCATATACATATGAAAGAAAACAAGAAAAAGAAACTTGGATAGATTATTGGCGTAATAAAACTTACAAGTCACGTGTACCTTGTTGTATATGAGCTAAACTTGGAACATAATTCAAAAGATGCGAGCAAGGTAATTTGCATGTAACATTTCCACCATCGGGATATACGTATATGTAATTATTGCAACACAACACAAGTTTGTTCTGCTCGTGAT